GGGGTTGTGTGGTAATCTCTTCCTGAAGGGGACTGGGCTGGCAGCACAGGGTGGGTCTGGTGAGCCACCCTTCTTCTGGCACTTCTTTCCCTGCCCAACCTGGGGGTGCCTTTTGAGGACAGGAGAGCAGGGAGAGAGCTTGGTGAGGAGGAGGGAACTGGGGGCTAAGTCGTGGAGGAGGGGTTTGGAGAGATGAAGGTTCCCTGGACCTCTTCTGTCCTTTCTATGAGTAGAACCTTTAGCCCCTGGCAGTGAACACTGTTGGAAGGGACAGGAGGTGGGCTGTTGGTGATACTCCTGTGTAGAGGCTGGGGGTGGGGGAGTGGGCATGTGTTCCAAGGCTCTGGGTAGGGCCAGTGACTGGGTCACACGGGTGTAGCCTCCATGAAGGTTCCCTTTCTGAGGCTGCCCAAGGAGGCAAGGACAGCTGACCTGTGCTGGGGAACCTGCTGTTGTAGAGATGCTTCTACTGAGTCTGAGCAACCCTGCTTCCCTATCTTAGACCTTGCTTGGGATGGAGTCTGCTGAGCCTCTTTCTTCCTGGCACCTTGGTGCACAGAGCAGGGGCACAGGTAGTGTTTGTCACTTCTTCTTGGGACTCAACAGATGGGGTTTGCCCTCTGTGCCTTGGGCATGCCCACTGGGAAGCAGTTTCCTTTGCAAACACTGAGTAGCCTTTCTGGACAGTGGGGGTGCCTGAGGAATGTCCCAGTGAGTCAGGACTCACAGGGAGGAGGCAGGGGCTTGGTTTGCTGCCTGGTGTGGTCTGGGCCTCACCCGGAAGAACTGGAGGGAGGGAATCAGCCTGGTTCTTGACTCCCTGTCCTGACAATGGAGGTAGGTCTTGCTTTTCACCTGGGGACACTGAGGCACAGCCTGACAGATTGATGGGGACTCAGGTGGAATGGACATGGAACCCCACATCCTACCCTTCCATCCCTGACTCATTCTGTCGTTTATCTGGAACTGGCCTTAGGAAGATATGGTCCCTGCTTCCTCAGAGCTGCAGTCTGGGAGGAGACAGACAGGGAGACACTGGCCAGTATTATAGTAGAAATATCCCAAGGAGCACAGGGAAAGAGGAGTTGGCTGAGTGAAGATGCAGGATGGTCAGGGAATGCTTCCTGGCAGGAGGGACTAGAAGAATCAGGTAGTCCAGAGGCCCAGGTTCTTGTACCAGCTTTGCCATGGGCAAGTGACTCTCCTTCCCACTGTCAGCCATGTCCCCATCCTTGCTGAGGAGTGTGGGACTGGCAGAGGGGCCTGGATGGCCTCTGTGTCTTAGTGGCTCTAGGATGGCTGGATGGCTAAGGTTACCTCTGTGGCCTTACTGGATTGTTGCTTCTCCCTGTGGCTGTGTCTCAAACTTCACAGTGTTAGATCTTGCTTGAGGTGAAGTTTGATGCCCCCTTTGCCTCTGTACTCCCAGAACATCACCTAGAACCAAGTAGGTGTGACAGATTTTTGTTGGCACAAGCTATTGAACTGTTCCACAGTGCCTCCTTAGTGCCTTCAGGTCCTGAGTCTTTCCTCAGCTCCCGAACTAACTCATGCTCATGCTTTGGCCACATGCCCAGTTCCTGCCTCCTCATTGCTACCCCCTGAGCCTAGAGTAGTGCCCACACTTCTTCCTACTTCTTTTCACCCTGTCTTGTTCACTTGTGAACAGTTCTGAGCAGAGTGCTGGGTGTGTGGTCGATGGCACTGTGCAGTCTGAATGATGGATGATGTTTGTGCTTTCTGTTTGAGTTGGAGTCTGTTGCCCCATCTTACCCACTTGTATTTCTTGTCTCAACACGTCCCCAGAAGATAGAGCTAGGTAGGGAGGCGCATCTAGCATTTTGTAGATGGCACCTCTTCTCTCCTGCAGTCAGGCCCGTGGTGCGACTCTTGCCCTGAGTGGTCCTTTCCCACCCCTCCCATCTCAGCCTCTCCCCAGCAGTCCTCCACAAAGCCTCCCCTGACCCCACTCCTCTAGCTGGTGTCTATCTCCTGGATTCTCCCCAGCAGAGCCCTGGGCCTTCTAGGTGTTGCTAACTTGGCATCTTCTTGGACGACCTAGTTGTGTGCCTGAGACGCCATGTCTAGGTAGTTCCTGTCTCCCCCGGAGCCCAGCCCAGGCCTTGGCACCACCTGGCTCTCCAGAAACGTTGGCAGCTTGGCAGGTAGCTCTGATAGTGACACAAACGCCTGCTCACAGCAGCTCTCGCTTCCTCCTAGGGAGGCAGCGTCCATGGAGCGAGAGGAATGCCAGGACCCTGCCCAGGCACACGTGAGCCAGCCTCAGCGCCGCCAGCCGAAGCGCAGATAGCAGAGGAGTCTTGGGGTAAGGCCCGCGGCAGTCTCCCTCAGCTGCCTGTCCCAGCCCAGGGCAGAGGACAGCATCTCCGTCTCCATGGTCCTTTGGGTTCCTCACTATAGGCCCGGGGATTCCCAGACAGAGGTGGCAGAAGACAGAATTGTCTGCTGTCCCTCCTCCTGCCCCAGCAGCCAGCTCAGCAGTGTCTGGTTGCTGTGCTCTGTGAATGCCAGTGTGCTGACCCTCTGCTCCCCCCACCCTCATCTTATCAGTGTGGTTGCTGACAATGCTGCCACATGACATATTTCCCAAGGTGTATTCCCTGGAACACCAGGCTCTTTGGTCTCAGTGGTTAGATAATTCTGAGAAACAAGGACTTGTTGTGCTTGTTGTGGAACTTCTCACAGCCTTGACTTTATTGAGCTGAGCAGAATGAGTCTGAGACAGAGCCAGCAATGTGGGTTTCCTACTTGATTTTTTTGGTTGGGGTCTTTTTCTTTTTTTTTTTTTTTTTCTCTTTTCTTTTTGGGAACTGGGGATGGAACCCGGGGCTTCACATATGCGAGGAAAGTACTTTGCCCCTGACAGCAACCTACCAGCCCTACTCTTACTTGATCGCATAGATGTCCACAGGGCCTGGTGTTGCTTGGCCTATGCTTTGGAAAAGAGTTCTCAAGGCAGGAGCCTGTGAGGATCTGACCTGTAGTCAGACCTGGGCTTGACTCTCAGCTGCCAAGTGGCTGGGGCTGTCATTGAACCTCTCTGAGCCTCAGTTTTCTCATCTTTTTAAAAGAGGATAAGCTTAATGCCTACTTCCTTTAGAAAGTTTCGAGGGTTAGCTGTGCTGACATTGAGAAGACCCTTAGCAGAATGTGTGTCCCCAAAAAGTAGTCCCTGGCCATAGCTATGTGGGCAGGAACTGCTGGGCAATTTGCAGAGCCCATCCATGCCAGTGATTACATGTGATCATTTGCAGACGCTTGGACAGTGGCCATTGCCCCCTCTCTACAGATGTGGAGGCAGCCTTGAGTGAGGAAGCAGCATGCCCAAAGTCGCTGGGAGGAAGGCAAGGACCTAGACTCGGAACAAGAGCCTGCAGTCCTGGGCAAGGTCCTTAGTTCTTGCCTGAGCCTCCCTGCCTCCATGCCCACCTCAGCGTTTCCTGAAGGAAGGCCCCAGCCTCCCAGCCTGAACTTTAAGAGAAATAGTTATCTTTGGGCTTTTTTTGTAGTAACTAAAGTATGGCATGGGCTTGTATGTTTCTTTACCTTTTGGATTTTTATGAGCCTCTCCCGGTCTGCATCTTCAGCAGTGGAAAAGGAGAGAAGTAAAGCCTTCCTCGGCCATTTCTACTGTGTGCTGACTTTCACAAGAATCAGGTCCTGCTCAAGCTGCTGATTTGCAGCTTGCTTCTGTTTCCTGGAATGGCAACCACTGACCCCCTTTCTGACACTAGAGGTAGACAGATCTGGTGAGTCTAGCTTGCAGAAGGGGCGTCTGGCACCACCATCCTCAGTGCCCTTCCCTAGGTGGTGCTGGCCTTCTGGCTTTCATAGCAGCAGAGGGAGGTGGGGAATGCCTTGTGTGTGGTGCTGGTCATTCTCCTGTTTATTGGGACAAGGTCAGCAAAGCTGGGCCCTGCCCTGTAGGAGTTTCCTGTTGGTTTTGAGGAACTCTGTCCCTGGAGAGGGGAGGCCTGAGGTGGAGTCTCTTATAGGGCAGCCATGAGTAGGAAGCAGTGGGTCCTACTTCTGTGAGGTCAGAATTCCTCCTGGGTGCCAGGGACAGCTTGCAGGGAGCAACATGGTCTGGGCTCGAAGGTTTGACTAACTGGCTTTTTGTCTGCCTAAGGTGCAGCCCAGGTTGGGGTTTTGAGGACACCAGTGAGTGTTGTGGGAGTCGTTCCACATGCCTTAGTTTGGCTCTTTCTGGACCTTCAGAAACAGGCAGGTGCTGACTCAGTTACCCTTGTATTACTTGTGGTTTATTTTGGTCTTGGTCCTGTTAGAATGCTCCTTTCTAGTTTTATTTCTGAGTGTGCCCAGGTGAGGAGAGGGGTTCCATCCTAGGACCAGATTCTAAAGAATCTCTTTGGGGCCAGGCACGGTGGTGCATGCTTGTAATCCCAGCTGCTTGAGAGGCTGAGGCAGGAGGATTGTGAGTTCAAAGCCAGCCTCAGCAACATAAGATGATAAGCAACTCAGTGAGACCCTGTCTCTTAAGTAAAATACAAAAAAGGGCTGGGGATATGGCTCAGTGGTTGAGTGCCCCTAAGTTCAATCCCTAATACCTCCTCCAAAAAAAAAAAAGGATCTCTTTGGGGACATAGATGACTTTGGGATTGGTTCTGCAAGGAGAGTTTTCAGGCCCAGCAGCCTCAATCTGTGGAATCTGGAGACTGCAGTTTGTCAGGATCCAGCTGGGGATGAGGTCTTTGTTGGAAGCCCTGTTGTCTGCCTCACCTGGCAGTTTTCTCAGGCTCCCCCCTGTCCTGCCCTACCCTCTCCTGTGTCTCATCCTCCTGTCATCCCCAGCAGTGTTTCCCTCCCAAAAGGCCCTGCCTGGCAGAGCATCCTATAGATGATGCTGGTGGTCTCCAACTTCTCTTCCCTCCAGTAGCAACATCTTCACCTCCCATGATCACCCTTAGTGCCACTTCATGAGTGCTGAGTGGTGTGCAGGGTC